ATAGTAGTAGTAGTAGTAGTAGTAGTAGTAGTAAGTAGTAGTAGAAGTAGTAGTAGCAGCAGCAGTTGTACAGTAGTAGTTGCAGTAGTAGCAGCTGTAGTAGTAGTAGTAATTGTTGTAGTTGTAGTAGTAGTAGTAGTAATTGTTGTAGTTGTAGTTGTAGTAGTAGTAATTGTTGTAGTTGTAGTTGTAGTAGTAGTAATTGTTGTAGTAGTAGTAATTGTTGTAGTTGTAGTAGTAGTAGTAGTAGTAGTAGTAGTAGTAGTAGTAGTAGTAGTAGTAGTAGTAGTTGTAGTAGTGTAGTTGTAGTTGTGTAGTAGTAGTAGTAGTAGTAGTTGTAGTTGTAGTTGTAGTTGTAGTAGTTGTAGTTGTAGTTGTAGTTGTAGTTGTAGTTGTAGTTGTAGTAGTAGTAGTAGTAGTAGTAGTAGTAGTAGTAGTAGTAGTAGTAGTAGTAGTAGTAGTAGTAGTTGTAGTTGTAGTTGTAGTTGTAGTTGCAGTTGTAGTTGCAGTTGTAATTGTAGTAGTAGTAATTGTAGTAGTAGTTGTAGTAGTAGTAGTAGTTGTAGTAGCAGTAGTTGTAGTAGCTGTAGTAGCTGTAGTTGTAGTAGTTGTTGTAGTACTAGTAGTTGTAGTACTAGTAGTTGTAGTAGTAGTAGTAGTAGTAGTAGTAGTAGTTGTTGTAGTAGTAGTGGTTGTAGTAGTTGTAGTAGTAGTACTAGTAGTTGTAGTAGTTGTTGTAGTACTAGTAGTCGTAGTAGTAGTAGTAGTAGTTGTAGTAATAGTAGTAGTAGTAGTAGTAGTAGTTGTTGTAGTAGTAGTAATTGTAGTAGTAGTGGTTGTAGTAGTTTTAGTAGTTGTTGTAGTACTAGTAGTTGTAGTAGTTGTTGTAGTATTAGTAGTTGTTGTAGTATTAGTAGTTGTAGTAGTTGTTGTACTACTACTAGTTGTAGTAGTTGTTGTAGTACTAGTAGTTGTAGTAATAGTAGTAGTAGTAGTAGTAGTAGTAGTAGAAGTAGTCATAGTAGTTGTAGTACCTCCCGCTGACCAAACAGTATACACCGAAGGTACACGGAGGGCAAAGAGGAGGAGGTCGAGGTTGAGGCGCTGCACAGCGAGATCGAGCAAGAGCATAGAGCGCCCCAGATATACAGCCTATTAATACTACAACTACAACCCCACCACAAACACATACATGTACTAGTATAAACAAAAATACGCAGCACCTAACACCCAGGTACTGACATCTGTGTTTCAGTACCATTACAGCGTTTTCAAACTTGTGCATTTCCATTTTGATGCTTTTACCTCTGTTCCATAATTACACTTTTTCCTCCAGAGAAAGCCGGTGGTCAGAGGGCGCGTATCGACCGTTCACATTTTTACATGCTTCCATCGACCTGAGCGCACAGGCGTATTGATCCACTCTGATCCGTTTAGATGTGCCTCCTTTAGCCGTACAAATCCACGCTCTATTGACACAACATTTGGAGGATTTCTTCTACTTTCAAACGGTTAGTCGATCATTAGCCACCGACAATCACCGCCTGGTATTTTGGTGACTAAAGGGAAGTGTCAAATAGGAATCCAATGATACATACATGAGATATTGAGTTTAAATTTATTGATAATCGTCGACTTTTTAAACGGTTCTATATTACGGACAATTGACTTGAGGTAAAAGATTCTAACATGGCTTAAAGCTCATGTTGGAATGTTGTTACCTCCTCAAAAACAAACCTGGAGTTGTGTTTTGTTTCATTCACATGTTTGAGTAACCTTTTATTATTTGTCTGTGTACATCTCCAAAGCTCAAAATGCTCTGTTGCACCTTGTGATGTCATGAAGTGGTAGTTTTCAAGTTAACAGCTACCTTTTAATGTTATTGTTTTTTTGTTTTTTTTTTTCAGACTAAGAGTTTGTTTTCTGATCCTGACAGTTTCTTCGGTCTTCCTCAGAGTGACGTTGCCGTGACTGATTTATACTATTACATAGACTTGAGGCGGTGATGTATGTAAGAAAATTCTTGAAAATTATCACTTTTAATGACAATTTGCCAGACGGACAGACATTTTGTTGTTTTGTTGTCTTTTAGGGTATGCTGAGAGTGATATTTGACAGTAGAAAGACAGCAAGCCTTGGACTATTTTTCTGCTAGTTTCCCGTGTGTGTCAGGATGCAAAATTTTCGGGTTATTTGGCCATTTATGCAGATGCAGTCACCTTAATATTTACAGTTACATCATTTTAAAGGGTGTTTTTTGGGCCCTGAGACCAAATGTGGCTGAGTTGGGGTTGGTCCCTGTCAACTTGTGATGGCCCAAGGTATAAGAGAACAGGAAATAATAGTGAAAAAAGGTATTAAAAAACATCCTGAGGACTTAGTTTTGGTGCCGTCTTCCTACCGGAGGAGGCAGGACGACAGCGCCACCTGCAGTCCGACTTCCTCAGGACAGTATCCCAGGTGTGAGAGAGTAAAAAAGCCCCTCGTCCCGGTTTATAGCGTTATAGCTTAACATCACGTGACCACTCTGAGGAAAACCGCGGGTGAGCACTTGAAACTGTCAGGTATGAAAACAAACACTTGGTCTTAAAAAATAATCTAAAAACATAAATTATCGGAAGACCAAATTAACCTTTTAACTTTGTTTAGCGGAGATTGGGAATTCCAGGGCTGAAATGATCCAAATGATTCTAGTGAAGGTGTATGTGGTTTAAAAACTCAGTGGAACATGGTGGAACAGAGAAAAAGTCTGCCTCAATATGCAGGATTTGTGTGTTAAAAGTGTGAATGAAACAAAACGCAACTCCAGGTCTGTTTGTGATGAGGAAACAACATTACAAAATGGATCAGATAATGGTGTTTTGGAATTGTAGACAGAATTATCATAAAGGATTACTCAAACGTGTGAATGAAACAAAAGACACGACTCCAGGTTTGTGACTTTAAAGCGCACGAGAGTCAAGCTTGTGTAATATAGGACCTTTAAACAAAAATAACTCCATAATTTAAAGTTGAAAAGACTTGATTTTGCATGTCATGTACTGTGCTGTATATATGATGTGATATGGAGAACTCTTCAGACCAGGTACAATGTGAAGAGCTCTTCCGCTTATAGTCTCAGAGTGTCTGTGCGCAGAAAGAGAACTGCTGAATGCCCCGGTGTCCATTATATCTGCATCAAGTGTTCACAAGTGGCTCGGTGAGTACAGGGAGCAGGGCTGGGCAGACACAAGAGCAGATATGGACTAAAGGCTTTAAGGAGTAGAAAAAAAAATACATTAGCACATTTACAGAAAGAAGAAAATGAACTTATTTATTTGATATTTGTTCCCTCAACTCTTAATATATGACTCAGAGGTGGGAAGAGCACTGAGACATTGTACTTGAAGGTCTTATATTAGGCAAAATGTTCTCTTGTGAGCTTTAAGCCATGATATAATGTTGTTTCCTCATCAAAAACATACTTGGAGTTGTGTTTTGTTTCATTCACACGTGTTTGAGTAACCCTTTATTATTAGTCTGACCACATCTCCAAAGCTCAAAATGCTCTGTTCCACCTTGTGATGTCATGAAGAGGCAGTTTTAATGATAACAGCCACCCTTTACTTTTTGTTTAGGAGAGCTTGGCAATTCCAGTGTTTCGAGCGTTTTCCGTTTCAGCTTGTCAAATCCTGATCCCGTCAGATCTCAGAAGCTAAGCAGGACCTTTGATGGGAAACCTGGGAAAATCAGGTGCCACAGGGGGGCGCCAATCGCAAAAACCGTCATTGTGTCCTTAGGCAAGACACTTCACCCACACAGTATGAAAGTGGTGTGTGCGTGAGTGATTGTGGTGGTCGGAGGGACCGATGGTGTAGATTGACAGCCTTGTTTCCGTTAGTCTGCCCCAGGGCAGCTGTGGCTACAATAGTAGCTCACCACCACTGGGTATAGAGTCAAAGAATAATGCTCTGTAATGCATCTTTGTGACACAATTTCTGTGAAAAGCGCTATAAAAATAAAAACTTTGTTACTTAGAAGAGCTCAGCCTAAATATGCAGTGTTGGTGTGTTAAACATGTAAATGAAACAAAACACAACTCCAGGTCTGTTTGTGATGAGGAAACAACATACAACAGTATAACACAGAGCAGAAAATAGCATAATATGGTCCCTTAAAAGTTAAAATCAAACTTTATGTATCTGAAGAGATAAATAACAGAAATTTTTGAGCAAGGACAGACAAAAAATAGAGCAAAATAAGCAAAATCATATCTAGAAGAAACACAAATGTTCAAATTGTTTCATATTGTCAACATAAAGTTTAAACTTTTGTCACTTGCAGACTTACAACAAGAGTAACCAAAACTTTTACTCAAGTAAGAGTAATGTTACATCCTATAATATATTACTTGAGTACTACTCTGTGAAGTACAATTTTATTCAAGAGCCCATATTACTCTATTTTCTGATCACAAACGGACCTGGAGTTGTGTTTTGTTTCATTCACACATGTTTAACACACAAACCCTGTTTATTTACACTGAGTTCTTCTCTCAAAGAAGACACAAGAAGTGCTCCACTGTGTTTTTAAACTCCATACACCTTCACTAGAATCATTTGGATAATTTCAGCCCTGGCATTTCCAATTTCTACCAAACAAAAGTAAAAGATAGGCATTAACTTAAGACATCACAAGGTGGAACAGAGCATTTTGCGATGCAGACAGTACATTTTGAGTAATATATGACCTTTAAAAAGTTACTCAAATACATGCAAGCACTACCCAACTCTGACTAAAGCTGTATTGTTCTTCAACTATTTCCCGTGGTCATCCTAGGTCATTTTCGCGCGTCCATAACTCATACTGGAGTTATGGACGTTGACATTTATGGACTATTCCCAGATTGTTGTCTTGTCAGGAGGCCTTGGTTCGCTCCCCGTGTTGGACAGGTGTCACGGAGAGGACATGGGCTTCAGCATTGTCATATTGTTTTAATGGCGGATTGGGATGGGACTTACTGCACTGGTGTCCCTGGACCACCACTTCTCTGATGGCCACCAAACCGCGCTGGCCCGAGGTTACCACTTCGAATACGATCTGCGGAGAGAAGAGAAGAGAGGGAGGGGGGAAAGAGGGAGCGTTATAACAGGGTGATGAATGGGCGCGTGTCAGACGGCGGCGTTTATAGGAGAGGAGGAGAGAAGGACAGGTCTGGTAATGCAGTAATGGTAGAGTAGTGTAGTAGTGATCGAGGGCTGCAAGGTTCGCCGGAATCTAATCAAAAATTTGAATGGACGCAATTAGCAAATCGCAAAGGCTGCAGTTTTTGAAGTACTATAATTTCCCCCACAAATACTCTAATAAAATCTCCTGTCTTATTCTGTACCAAACTTCTACAAAACTAAAATCTTGCAAAGTTAAAATGACTTGAATTAAGGACATATGTTATATTGATTTATGGAAATTATCAACCAATGTTCGTTTCAGAGGAGTTGTGTTTAGTGTAGTTAGCTCCTCCCTTCAGGCAGATATAAGTAACAGATTACATGTACCAGAGTTACGTAATCAGAGTACAAATTATGAGTAACTGTATTCGGTTACAGTTACTGTTTCAATGAGTGGTAATTGGATTACAGTTACTTTGTTGTAAAGTAAATGGATTACACTGCAGTATTTTCCTGTTTTCACATTTCGGGCTATATCCCTTTTTTTTTTCTTTTTTTTTTTTCTCCTCCGGTAATTCCACTCATTGCCGGTCTAAACCAGGTCTAAACCAGGTCTAAACCAGGTCTAAACCAGGTCTAAACCAGGTCCAAACCATGTCCAATTCAGGTCCAAACCAGGACTAAACCAAGTCCACATCAGGTCCAAACCAGGTCTAAACCAGGTCCAAACCAGGACTAAACCAGGTCCAACCAGGTCTAAACCAACCAGGTCTAAACCAGGTCTAAACCAGGTCCAAACCAGGTCCAAACCAGGTCTAAACCAGGTCTAAACCAGGACTAAACCAGGCCCAAACCAGGACTAAAACCAGGTCTAAACCAGGTCTAAAACCAGGTCTAAAACCAGGTCTAAACCAGGTCTAAAACCAGGTCCAAACCAGGTCCAAACCAGGTCTAAAACCAGGACTAAAACCAGGTCCCAGGACTAAACCAGGTCTAAACCAGGTCTAAACCAGGTCTAAAACCAGGTCCAAACCAGGACTGAACCAGGTCCAAACCAGGTCCAAACCAAGTCTAAACTAGGTCTAAAACCAGATCCAAACCAGGACTAAACCAGGTCCAAACCAGGTCCAAACCAGGACTAAACCAGGTCTAAACCAGGTCTAAACCAGGTCTAAACCAGGACTAAACCAGGTCTAAAACCAGGTGTAAACCAGGTCTAGACCAGGTCTAAAACAGGATTTAACAGGACTAAATCATGCTGCATGGACCTTGTTTCCTCGTCTTCTATCAATAATATTTTTAATACGGTTAAGTAAAGTCTGGGCAAAGACCAGGATATCTTCACAAAAAATCTTATATGAAGATATCCTGGTCTGGGAGAAAAGAGCACTACTGCTCATGCTCGGTCGGCCCACAGCCACCGGAAGTACCGAGCCATGCTAGGCTAATCTGGGATCATGCGCCATTGAGCTCGGCCCATTGACTTGAATGGCCGACCATTTTGGAACCTGGGGGCTTGTTAGGGAGAGACTTATGTGCATATGGGCGTATGGTGTTGGTTCTTTTGATTTAATTTCAGATATTTGTTTTCTGTTTATGTGTTTGAATAGTTTATTAGTACTTTATTTTACCCTACACCGGAAGTCTGATTTAAAATACATTTTTGTTTGGTCAGACATCTTTTTTGTTGAAGTCTGCCTCATATTCTGACCACATTGGCCACTTTATTATTAGCCAGTTTACATCTACAGCTACCTTTTACCTTATGTCCAGTAAGATGGGCAATTCCAGGTTTGAAATCATGCAGATGATTCTACATAGCAAAAAGTGTTAAAATTGACTCTCACAGAATCAATTTTAACATTTTCTCAGAGTTTATATGAGTCCAATCTCTTCTAGAGTTAATTTTACATTTTTGGAAATGTTAATTAAGTAAAACTGGACCAAAGTTCCTGTTTAACCCCGAAATCTAGTGCTATATTCACGTTTTGAGAGTAAACAGATAACACTTTGTAGGGTTATCCTGATTTAGCTAAACAACACACAGAGGTGTTTAATTTTATTTTTACTTTATTTTAGTTAATTTAAGATTAAATTATGGACAAAACTGGTTCAAGCTGGTGTTCTCTCACAAGAGTTTGAAGTGGTGAATGGGAGGAGCCAAATTAACACTGAGGGAAGTTGAATTAACACTAGAGGAAGTTGAATTAGCACTAGAGGAAGTTGAATTAGCACTAGAGGAAGTTGAATTAACACTAGAGGAAGTTGAATTAACACTAGAGGAAGTTGAATTAACACTAGAGGAAGTTGAATTAACACTAGAGGAAGTTGAATTAACACTAGAGGAAGTTGAATTAACACTAGAGGAAGTTGAATTAGCACTAGAGGAAGTTGAATTAGCACTAGAGGAAGTTGAATTAACACTAGAGGAAGTTGAATTAACACTAAGGGAAGTTGAATTAACACTAGAGGGAGTTGAATTAACACTAAGGGAAGTTGAATTAACACTAAAGGAAGTTGAATTAACACTAGAGGAAGTTGAATTAACACTAGAGGAAGTTGAATTAACACTAGAGGAAGTTGAATTAACACTAGAGGAAGTTGAATTAACACTAAGGAAGTTGAATTAACACTAGAGGGAGTTGAATTAACACTAGAGGGAGTTGAATTAACACTAAGGGAAGTTGAATTAACACTAAAGGAAGTTGAATTAACACTAGAGGAAGTTGAATTAACACTAAGGGAAGTTGAATTAACACTAGAGGAAGTTGAATTAACACTAGAGGGAGTTGAATTAACACTAAAGGAAGTTGAATTAACACTAAAGGAAGTTGAATTAACACTAGAGGAAGTTGAATTAACACTAGAGGAAGTTGAATTAACACTAAGGGAAGTTGAATTAACACTATAAGGAAGTTGAATTAACCTCAACCACATCGACTCTGGCAAATAACCCCAACTCGAACCCCCATTTAACTTTCAAATTGTTAAAATACAAACTTTTGATGTTAAAAACAACTCTGAAATATTTTCCCTTAAAATTTTAACCCTCCAGTTTTTGCTGTGTAGTGAAGATGGACGGATCGGAGCACTTCCTGTATTACCACATGACATTACTGGGTGGAACTGTTTTCTATTTGCAGGGTTTGTGTGTTAAACATGTGTGAATTAAACAAAAAAAAAACACAACGCCGGGTTTGTTTGTGATGAGGAAACATTATTATAACATAGATCAGAAAACAGCGTAATATGAGCCCTTTAATGACCGAGACAGAGGGAGTTATAACATGGTGATGAATGGGCACATGACACACTGCAGCGTTTATTCAGAGGGAGGAGGAGACAGGGACAGAGCTGGTAATGCAGTAATGTGATCTAGTCTGAAGTCCACAGCTGTGAGGGCTCGACGCTGGAGGATACTCTAGTTATTTCTCCAATATGTCACCAGAGAGAGGGGCAGTGACAGTCCAAGTGAGGAAGCCACTTTAGGACTTAAAATGATTACGGGAGAGTGGAGTGAAGGTGGAACAAACAAAATGGTGGTAAGATAAGGTGCTGTCGAGTCGAGTTTAAAGAGTCTTTGTCTTATAAAGTTTCCTCATCACAAACACACCTGGAGCTTTGTTTTATTCACATATGTTTGAGTTACCTTGGTTTATTGGTCTGTTTACAATACAATATGTTAATACAGGAAGTGAGTCTGTGTGTCATTCATTTTTCAAAATAAAAACAGAAATAATGGAAAAAAACAACAACAATTTTCTTCATTATTTATCTCCAAAAAACAAAATGAAAAAATAGATAATAATTCTTTGTGTGTGTGTGTGTTTAAACGAATAATGGTAAAAAAGGACAACGGCCGTTTTCCGTTTCCGTGACTTAGACTGTGATGCTGGACTTTTGCGCTGCATACGGATTGAATCAGGACTAAACCAGGACTGATCTCAGGACTGAACCAGAAGGAGTAAACTAGGACTAAAACTGCACTAAACCAGGACTAACCCAGGTCTAACCCAGGTCTAAACCAGGATCAGCACCTCCGGCCTGTCCCGACACCCAGTCCTGGTTCAGTTCTGGTTCAGTCCTGTTTTCGTCCTCTTTTAGTCCTGTTTTAGTACTACTTGAGTCCTGCTTTAGTCCTTCTGGTTCAGTCCTGGGATCAGTCCTGGGATCAGTTCTGGTTTAGTCCTGTTTTAGTCCTGTTTTGGTCCTGATTTAGTCCTAGTTCAGTCCTGGTTTAGTCGCTTTGGTGAGTCCTGGGATGAGTCCTGTGATGAGTCCTGGTTCAGTCCTGGTTCGGTCCTGGGATGAGTCCTGGTTCAGTTCTGGTTCAGTCCTGGTTCAGTCCTGGGATAAATCCTGGTTTCTGGTTTACTCAACTTGCTTAGGGGTCAAAATTGGATGAAACAGGAAACGGCCTTTATCCATTTTTTCCATAATTCATTTAAACAAAATCGAAAACTGAAAAAACAAATTGTTATTTGTTTTTTCATTTTAGTTTTGGAGGCAAATAATGAAGAAAATAGTTTTTTTTTGTTTTTGTTTGTTTGTTTTCTTATTTGTGGTTTTATTTTGAAAACCGAATGAACGAATTATACATGGATTGAAGTGCTCCATTGTCATTTTAAACTCCATACACCTTCACCTAAAATCAAATAATGTGTTTCTCATCAAATAAATACACATGTATTTGATTAAATGCAAGATGGTTACATTTAATGCCATAGTGAGGAACATTCCAGGCAAAGTAATGACATGTCATGGTAGTGAACCTTACCAGAAAGTAACATAGTGCACCTTTAATTAGGAGATGACTTTTTTGTTTGTTTTGTTTTGTTTCTGTAATATTTTACAGAGGTGGGGACTTGCAAGTCGTGACTTGCACTCAAGTCAGACTTGAGTCACTATTTTTAGGACTTGAGACTTGACTTG